AAATTAAGTTTCTATTAATAAACTGTTATAAATTGTATATTTTCTCTGTTCTTTCAAGAGATAATAATAGTGTGCATTACTCAAAACACTTTATAAAAATGTTCAAAAAAGATATTTTTTATTATGTACTTAATTCTATCAACTTTTGTATGTACACTGAAGGACACAAATAATTTTCATTGACGAGTTAAATTCACTACTCTATAGAATTTTAAACGAAAGCAGTGTCATCTAGTCAATTATCCGAAAGAAAAATTGAAAGCATCGAAGGAGCAATGTTTTATGGCGATCGTCAAGTAACTAACTTGTCAAATTTCTCAAACACTACTATATTTTATTTTCCATGGAATATATATATCGATCATTAAATGAAACAAATCTATTTAGAAATTGATAAGGCGGGCTACGATGAAAGAAGTTACTTGATAATGTTAAATGTGGCACCGCTAAAATTCTAGGAAACACTTTAAATAATAGGGTATAGCGCACTCTGATCTGAATAAACGATGCACACAATCTTTTCGATTTAACTGAAACAATATTGTTACTGAAGTCTTATATTTATATCACATATAAAACTCATAACGACATGAAACAGGCTTCTTCGTTTTGTAGTGAACTGTTATAATCTGTGACTGACGTTTCGATTTGTGATAGATATTATTCTTGAACATAATATTTAATTTTAAGACCGTATTCTCAATATTATATCTCTTAAATTGAAAACCTTGGACTTTTGTTCATCTACCTCAGAGATATGAGAGAAGAAATGTACCACATCAGAAAATTACAAAAATAATTTATTCGAAAGAAAAATTCTCAAACGTCTAAATGGCTCAAAATAAAATGATCGTTTTTCAATTACTATTGTTTTTTCCTTAGTGTGAAGCTTTTGAGTTGGGACACGTGAAGAGTTGAATAACATGCTTAGACTAGATAGTATTCATTTGAAATGTTTGGAATTCATCTTTTCTTCCTGTTCGATCAGTGTTCTTTGCTTGAAGACAAAGACTACCACTAACCAATAGAAGTAAACAAATCAGATAGTTTAGATATAGAGAAGACAGAACACAAACAGAAAAGAAAGGAAAAAAAAGTTCCAGTGATCGTACACTTATAAACAGATATATTAATAGTTTCAAACGTGAGCATCATGATAAAAAAAACTGTCTCTAGATAAAACATTATTCTGTATCAAAACATGAATGTTTTGCTTCATTCATAGAACAATGGAAAAGATTAAAAATTCCGATTATTCGTTCGTTAGTTGCATATACCAGATTAGTAAATCATCATTTTAAAAAAAGTTGTCAAATGAAATTCGAGAGGAGCATAATGAAAAAATATCAGCAGTTAAGTTAAAACGTTAATCTAACAACTAGCAATGCATTTCTTTATGAAAAATTACAAGTGATCATAGACATGTATGTCCATTGATCATTTTACATGAGTGCGTGTACAGTAGTAAGTATATACATGGACAACTGCTGTTCGTGTATATTACTGATCTTTCTTGTCAGACAATGTAAATGTTAACGGAAAAATTAGAATGAAATAAATAAAACATGCTTAATCAAATATTCGATACGTTGAAGTACGCATCGAAGAAATCGGCTACATCTGTTCATCTTACGTTTCGATGCATGTTTTTTAGGATCTACCTTTTCCTACATTATATTTGAGTATGTATTTTTCTGGAAATGTGGGCAATTAAACAGAAAGTGAACAAATATGATGAACAAAACAACTTTTCTATTTCAAAAGAAAGCATCATAAAAGAAAAGAACAGTATATCTTAGTCACAGCCGATTGTATCAATTAACAATGTACACAGTTCCGTTATAACACACCGAAAAATAAAGTCATAATAGGAAGTAAATGTCTAATTAGTCAATCTAGAAGTGTTTTATTCAATAATCCAGAGTATTATAAATTCATTTAATGAACGATTAGAAAAAAAAGTCAAAAGATTGTCATAAATATGTTCAAACGTTTGTTATTAGCAACAGTATGAATAAAAAAAAATTGCGTATGTCTCGTGTAGAAATTGTCATTGAAGACAATGAAATTTGTATAAATATTTATAAATTGTTTTGTGACTGTTTCATGGATTGAATATGTTCTTTCGTCACAACGTTGTTATCAAATAAGAATGAACTATCTATTCTGATTTTTCTGGCTACTTTTACTTAATAAATCAATACTGTAAAAGAATAATATTGACCATGACTTCATTTGGATAGAAAGCAACAACTTTTAGGCGTATCGATTATATTGTATGTCGTGTAGGAGAATTAAAAGTTTCTCTTCAAAATCTAACTATTTAATTCCATTCAAATTAAAAGTCTTATTTTATTCACATGATCTTAGAATGTGATTGAAGTTCTGATTTTTCTATAAAATAGAGAAAATTTGTGTTCTTTAATTATCTACATTAAAGCTTCTTTAATGTACTTTAGAATTCCTTTCGTTCTTCATCACTTAGAAAGAAAACAATGATAGGCCAGCTGCCTATGATGTACTACACATTTGATCGAAAAAAATTAAATACATGGTCTTTAAAAAAGATTGTGCTAAATTCAACTATAGAGTTTCGATTTTCCAGAAAAACCTTTAAAATATCAGGTGTTCCAAAGGTCACATCCTGAAAGATTTCTCGTTTCGTTTTTCTACAGTTTAAACTACATCAATTCATGTTTTCATGCGGAATAGATAAATATACCAAGATTTCATTCCTACGCGCAATCTTTAAAAACACTCTTGTTAGCTAAGACCTTTAATAAAAATATGAAAATCTAGCCTGTTTTCTTTTTCCAGGAAAATTATTACGTGCGATTTCTTTTTTAATTACCTCGAGTTGTTGAATGATTCAAAACCTTGAACGGTCTTTTCACGGAATTTTATTTCGTTAGATCTTTATAAAAAAAGAAATAAATAGTATCATGTCAAAATTCAAATAATTAACACTTGTATCATGCATGAGTTTCTCTGCAAAGAGAAAACAGGCTAAATTTTTTTGTTTTGGTCGAAGATCTTAGCATTGCATAATAGTTTTGAAGTTTGTCTGTGGAAATAAAGCTCTATGTTTTCATTCATTATGCAAAACAACTGAATTGATGAAGTTCGATCCGTACTGAGGTGAAATGAAAAAACTTTCAAGAAGAGGCTTTTTGAGACACATAGTACACTGGGTGCAAATGAAGAGTACAATCCTTTTTGACTTAGAAGATGCTAATTCATTGTTAAAAATATTGAAAAAACTAACTGCTACTGACTAATCCTAACTTTGACTTCATCAGGGTCGAAAATTCCATCAACTTTAATGTACTTTCGAATTATACTCCTGACTGTTGTGTAAAATATAAACGCTTGATAAGCAAACACAAATATTATAATTGTTTGAAACTACAGACATATTTAAATCATCTCAAAACTCCGAAAAAATGGAGTCGATGATCATAAAATGGTCAAAATGGTTCATGTACGAACCAAAATGCATTTTAATGGCCAAAATGGTCGAGTTATGAAAAATAATGCATTTTAATGGTAATTTCTCCATTATTCTTTTGACTGGATTGTATATCTTTTATATCCAATTAAACCATTTCAAGACCAACAGTGTTATCAGTTGTTGAAATGTTATTTTTGAAACACGTATTGCTACAATACCAATTAGTTCTTGTAAACAATGTACATTACAAAGGTTTCAATGGGTCGGATCAAAATTTTCTTTTGGATGGAAAATCATGGGTCGATTCTTGAATAAAACATAAAATTTTCAAAAGATATTGCGTATTTTCACTGAATTTGTCTTTGAAAAGCCCATGTAGTTCTTCCATTAGCTAAAACATTTCTGCAATGAAGAGCAAATAACTTATATAAAACAGAATAAAGAAAAATTTAAAATTGTCGTCACCTTGAAAAACTTTCTTTATATTCAACAAAATGTCGTTGCTTAGCTCTGCTCGTTCATCATAAATTAATTTTTCTAATTCTAATTTTATGCCTACTGAACCCCATCAATGATAAGTTTTTGTTAACACTTTTTCTTCAACTACCGGTGCTGGTTCATCATCACATACAAAACAGTATACATTAGAATGGATCAAATTTCTTCCGAAACAACAATCATCGCCATATACTGTTATTAAAAGTGAAAAAGCAAACACATTTTCATGTTAGAAAATTTTTGGTTTTTCAACTAACAATATCAAACAAGACTATAATTACACCTCTCGCTAAAAACTCTGAAACACTCAAAAATGATTCTGCAAAGTTTTGCATTTCATTCGAATTAAACTTTATATATATGTTATGTGCCGTTAATGGTTAAACTTTTGTATTGCATTAATCCGGTATAGAGTAAAACGAAAGCTATACCAACAAATATATCCATCAAATATTCTAAAGTTTAATTCGAACGGAATATGAAAGTTTGCAGAGTCATTCTTGAGTATCCTAAAATTTTTGACAAGGACTTTATGTGCAACATGTTCGACAAATGATCCTGGTAAAACTTTATTATCATCTGAAATAATCTTTCATATGATTGATCGAATATATTTAACTTTTTGCATGACTATTTGTGAACATAAAAATTGTAAAACACAGACGATTCGCAATAGTATCCATCAAAAAAGTTTTATTTATTTTGATTTTGAAAATGTTTTCAAAAGTGATAATAGATCAATATCTATAAAGCATAGTCTACTAAATCATTGCTAATATATATTTTATTTAAATTCTTTTTTTCATACTATTGAAGCTTAGGGATTTTCTAATCTAACCATGAACTTATGATAAATTCACAAAGATGAAATAGAACAAAAATAAAAACAAAATATCTTTTCCAGTGATAACAAAAGAAGAAAAAAAAATAACAAAATTCAAACATTGTTGTTAAAAACTTGCTTATCTTCTATTCTACGATATACCTTAAATGTTGATATCTGATATCACACATACACCTGCTTATACTCATCAATCTTTAAAAAGAAGACATGTTATTATATTTATTTATAATTTTTCAAACTATACGTTCAATTTCATGTGTTATAACTTGTTCTGTTTGTCCAATTGATGCAAATAGTTTTTATTATTTCGTTACAACAGATCGTTTACCATATAGTCTTAATAATTGTACATTACAAACAATTGGAGATAATTGTTTTATTGATGTTATATGGCATCGAAAACCAGACAAAACTGAAATAACATTAAGCACTAGAGAAAATCCAAGAACAATAAACAATGAACACAATCTCTTTACTGATGCTAGTTTGGAAAATAAAAATTCTAATTTCGTATGGACTAGATCAATTTCATATACATGTTCTACTAATTATTGTAATAGTTTAACTGTGTTAAAACGTTTATTAAATTCGTTAACATCGAACGATAGTTTTAATGAACTTGAATATCTTCTCAAAATCGAAGAACCGTTTGATGGTAACTGGTGTTGGTTTGAAAAAAATATTACTTCATTGGAATGTGCAGCTTCAATACCACCAGAATCTTGTAAAGGATGTTTTTTTCAAGGAAAAAGTCGTGTTAGTTCAATAGAAATATGTGCAAGCTGTTTACAAGATGATATTGGCGAAACAGCCTTATCACATGAAGTGGATTTCAATATGACCGATCGAACACGTACTGATCATTGGATTCTTGAATGTAAATCAAGAAATTGTAATACAAAAACTAATGGCAATCTTATTCGCCAAAAGAGTACATCAGATTTTGATTTTATCAAATTTTTAGATGATGCTAATAATTCAAATATATTGTCACATATGAGCAAAATAATGTTGCTTGTTATTGTTTTTCTTATCAAACTTTTTAATTAATTTTTTGAAATATACGTCAAACTTTGTTTTATGAATTTATTTAAGTTTTTAATAGATAAATCATACAAAATGTAATTCACTATTTGTATTATTTAGAAATAAAATTTTTGAGTAAAAATGTTTGGTCATTGATGATATACAACAATTCAATAAGTGGAAGCTTAACTGTGCATGAACATGCTTCATATTATACTTAAAATTACAGATAAATACAGTAAGTTTTTTAAAGCATAATTTTCTCTATTTGTCAGTTTAGCCTGTAATAACAAAATTCAACATATCCGTTTGTTAGAATGATCGATTTTTTCATCTCGGTTGTATTTTAGTTGACGTATATAACAAAAAAAAGAGAAATTCAAAATAGGTGCGATTCTATACATACTTTATTACAATAGTAATAGCAAGTTAGTCTTGATTTCTATACCTGAAATAAATAGTGGCATGTCCAAGGTTGGGTACCATCCTGCTACCGATCGTCTTCACTCTGGCACTAAGAAGAAAGAAAAACGTAATAATTACAATCATTAACACTATTGTATAGGTTACTCTGCAGGTCATACGAGACTGCTTTACCACCTATGATTTGCTAGTTACATCACTAGAAATTAGTTTCTATCATCTTATGTATACAATCAGAGTGGCACAGCAACAGATAACTTCGTACAGAAACTATTGGTGAAACAAAGAGAGATCATAGTGCCTACAGTCTCGTGATCGCTTCAGCGTAAAAACAAGAAAGCAAGATGGGAGCGATGATAAATTTCTCAAATTTGATAAATCATTATTTTTCTCTTCGGATCAATAAAAAAAGTTAAAATTCCTTCTAACAGAAAATCATAGTAAAGAATCTCATAAATATTTGCATAGTAGAATCTTTTTATCTTTTGAAATATTATATAAGGTGCCGGCAATGCGAATTTTCAGTAAAAATTTGTTTTTCGCGTTTTTTTCACATCATCGGATAGAGCTTGAGCTGTTGATTGCGAAAAACTACTTTTTAGTCTTAGAAAATGCTTCCTTCCGGTCGAAAAATACGAAATATTCGAAAAGTGTCGTTATTCGAGAAAGACATATCTTTTCTCGAAATGTCCGAAATTTCCACTTTATTCTTTTTTTTTCGCTCCTGAAAATACTTTTTTTCAGATTCAGCATCAAAAACTGGGTATAGACAAGTTGTTAAATCGACTCTAGACCCAAAACTCTATTGGTGGTGGCGCTTCGAATCCCGTCGAGTGAGATACGAATAGGTCGATTTTGTGGAACTCACATATATTTTCGAAGAAAACAGTGAGTGTAAGTTTTAAGTTCGAAGTTTCGCGGCTCCCCCCCCCCCCTCCCCCCATTACAGACCTTCACAATCAATAATAAAAGGTGTTAAATTTTTTCGAATTGTTTTTGGAAAATTGATTCAGTTATAATTTTGCTAAATAATGAATATCATTATTTGTGTCTTGATTAATATATATGATAGTGTGTAAGGTCTACTGTAGATATCATAGGTATGTAAAACACACTTATTTGTCAATCAATTCAATGATTATAATAATAAGAATGATAAATTAAGAAAAACGAATTTAAAAAAAAATAAAAAAATAATGAGCGAATAGCAACAATCCAAATAAAAAATAGGGCGCCTATAGAAAAAAGTTTAAAAAACATTCTGTTCGAAATTAAAGAGATTGTTACTCTTGCGATTGATTTTCCTGCAAAACAACTATAGTCTAAGAGAGATTTTTCAGTTTACGCATTTTTTATCAGTTGAATGAGTCTAGAGAGCATATGTGAGTTCCACATTTCAGCCCCAAAGGGGCTGCGCTAACAAGCTTTTGTAAACGTATCTAGTTTTTGCACATAAATGATGAAGCCAAATATTTTATCTCATTCTATTTACCATACCACCCCCCACCACGCTACTGATCGTTTTTTCTTCTTTTCTTTCTTATGTCGAGAAAAACCGTTTTTACTGGTACCATAGGCATTTTAGAAGGTATTCATCGATTTTCGAATTCAAATAAGACTTTTTGTCAAAAACTAAATACAGATTCTGAATCACCACAAAAAACTGAGTCAAATGAAGCATCTTTCAAGCTAATTTGACAACTTTCAATTTATGACAGATGCAAAAATTTCAGTCCTCCGGCGATATCGAAAAAAATGAGAAAAATTGAAAGTTGTCAAATTAGCTTGAAAGATACTTCATTTGACTCAGTTTTTTGTGGTGATTCAGAATCTACATTTAGTTTTTGACAAAAAGTCTTATTTGAATTCGAAAATCGATGAATACCTTCTAAAATGCCTATGGTACCAGTAAAAACGGTTTTTCTCGACATAAGAAAGAAAAGAAAAAAAAACGATCAGTAGCGTGGTGGGGGGGGGGGGGAGGGTAAANGTTTGCAAATGTGTTGAAAGTTTCAAAAAACGAATAAAAAAAACCCGGAACCTTTAAAGGATCTTACCGTGTACCCAAGTGAAGATCCTTTTTTCTTCGAAACCTTTTTAAGTTCCGTACACAAAAAAAAGGTTTTGTAGGAAAGTACGAAACCTTTAAAGTTTCGCATCTAGTATAATAGTTTTATAGGAAACCCAGTGCGAAACCTCGAGGTTCAATACGAAACCCTAAAGGTTCCGTACTTTCCTACAAAACCTTTCTTTTGGTGTACGGAACTTAAAAAGGTTTCGAAGAAAAAAGGATCTTCACTTGGGTACATGGTAAGATCCTTTAAAGGTTCCGGATTTTTTTTGATCGTTTTTTGAAACTTTCAACACATTTGCAAACTTTTTGTCATCTACCGAACCTTTTTTTGAGGTTCCAGAAAGTACCGTTTTTTTTTTACAGTGTACGACAAGCACAAACAATTCATTAGAACCAGCAAATAGAGCCGTCAAATATGAACACACATTTAAAAAGTGACATATACTATCAAGATTTTTTTATACTTCCAAATACTATTGTCAAAAAATGGTCTACATCTCACAATCGTAGTGAATAGATCCATTCGTATTATCCACAGAATGAACAGTTACATTTTAAAAAATGGACTAATTTATGTCATATTTCAAAGTTCTGAAAATCAGTATTACAAATATCATCTAAAACAAAAGATTTTACTGATTATTACATAACAGCTGATGAGGTAGAAAATGTTTTAAAAACAATGAAATCGAAAAATAAGAAAAGAAAAATGGAAGTCATTGGATCGATTAAAAATCTTCAATTTGAAATATGGAAAGTGACTTTACGAGATAATGCATAAGAATGGAAAAATGAACTTCATAACCGTCCAAGTTTCTCCAAAGAATATATTTGCAAACACATGATGAGTAAGACAATGAGATTGAAATTTTGAAAACCATTTCCATCAACAAATGATATACCTTTGAGTGAAAAAAAAGAAAACAAGGATGATCATGAAAAGCAACGAAAACTGTATTAGTACAATTGCTGTATAATCCAATCTTTTATTTGGATATTTATGTCCCTTTACTCACGAAAAATTGTATATTTACCTCTCGACGTACAATATTTTGCCTAGAAAATCAAATTTTTTCATTTAGAATTTAGATAAAAAACTTAGCAAAAATGTTTTTTTTACTTAGAATTATTTTCAATAAATTATTTAGAAAAAATTAAGTTTTTCACTTCGTCTTTATTAAAAATTGCTCAGCATTTAACTAGAAGCTTTTTTTTCTTTGAATGCCATTAAATTTCAATGATTTGAATCATTCTCTCTTTTTTGTCTCTCCATATATTTCATGTATGCACATGTACGTATATCATTGGAATGATTCAAACTGGTTTCTACGGCTAACTGACTTGTAAATATTCAATAACAATGCTTAGGGATAAGAATAAGGACCATCCAGCAAATCAGAATCGAAAAGACAAGACAAACAATACCACTTGACAAAGTCAAATGTCTTTTTCTAACGACAATTGTTCTCCGAAAAATAGTATACAAGGTGCATAATTGACGATGAAAAGACTTCTAACAATGAGTCTCAACTTAGCATTAGCATTAGAAAAATGCTAATACTACTTTGTATTAGGATTTGAAAAACGTAATTGAGTACTTTTGCATTAGTAATGGCATAATAACTGATAACCTTGAAATACATGATAATGGATAGAACAGATGTTACATAGATATATTTAGTGAATAGTTAATGGTTCCAAAATGCAACGACGCCTTTTAAATCAATAAAGAAGTAGGACACGTAGCATCTCACGGAACTGTAGGGTACATTTTTTTGAATGCCATTAAAACTCAAGGATATGGGTCATTCTCTCTTTTTCGTCTCTTCGTATATTTCACGTATCCAAAATGGGTGTCTAATAAACTTTGATTCCTTTCAAGTAATATTCTTTTCTTATAAATTTTTCTGAGTAGAATAGTATGATATGCGCAACATATACACTAAGCATCTAAATCTACTCTACGCTAGAAGTTGAGCTTTCTACCTCTAATAGAGATAGAGAGAAAAGTTACAAGAAGATTCAAATGAATTGTTTTGAATTTATTGTGAGATTTTTTCCGTCATTTTATACGGATGTTAAATAAGAACCGATGGATAGAATGAGATTTATTAATTCAAATTGTGTAAACATAAAAAGAAGAAAACGTGTCTTAATCGACTCGGTAATTTTTTCATCAATTACTCCCAAATCACTGTGGCGAACATGTTTCATTTTTGCACTACTTGGTTTTCTAATCCATTTTCAAATGTTTCTCCTCTCCATTGCTTGTTAACTGCACTCCAAGCTGTCTCACCTAACGAAATATCACTAAATTTTGCATCGCAAGCGTCAAGATTAATACGCGCGTTAAATAACGATTCAATCGTATTCATTACAACTGTTCTTGAAAAATTGATATCACGTTAGTATTAGTAAAAATGACAAAATGAGCTAACGAAGGAGTGACGCACAGAAGACTAAAAGTTACTCTTTATTTACTATCCATTGAATAACTACTAGTAGAATTTTTTCATTTCATTCGTGC